AAGGCCGAACGCGGGAGAGAGGGGCCGTGATCGAGCCAAGCGGGAGAGGCTTTCCTTTGATGGCTTTGATACCATTTGAATTTTGAATAATTCTTTTTCTCACTGAATACATAGATAATTCACCTATAAATAGGTGAGTACAAGAGATAAAAAAGAGGAAAGAAATCTCCATACAATTAAGTAATTCCTATAATTATGGAATAAACATAATTACCAATAATTAAAGAATTACCATTTTTATATTATGACTAAATATAGCAAGTACTTAAATAGAATTAAAGAAATAATAATGAGCGTAATTCCACAGATCTCGTAAATGGTTTCACCAGATCTAGGAAGAGGAACTTCAAAGACGTCGCCAAGAAAGAAACAAAAGGCTCTTTGGCGATCATTTGGAGAACTCCATTAACAAAGTACTATTTTGGCAGTGAAATTTGTAATAACAGGAGTTTTGAGTGCTATTTATGTAAATCCCCCATTTTTAAATTATTATAGACATGCTTAGCTAATTCAAACTCAAATTCTAATCATAATTCTACAATTAAATCTAAGGATACCAAATGAGATGAATGATTTATTTGGAATTTGTTGACTTCTTTGGAATTGGTTGAGCTTTTGCTAATTATAATTCAATAACTTTTGAGCGTACTACGAATGAAAAAGCTTAGTAAATGGTTTCTGATGATAGTTACCCACAACTATAGAGTTTGATTTTTAGGTTAATTGCTCAATCATATTATTGTTGTTTGTTGCAAGAAAATTTTAAATATATATTCATTTATCAAATCACTCAATAGGAATAAAATCACTCTTTAACAAAGTGAAGATTTAGTATCTTGGTATGCTAGTCTTCATCATCTATCTCGAAGGAACTCATAATACATTAAAAGAGAAACAAAGTTATCTAACATTCATGGGGAAGCATTAATAATAATGGATGAAATTAAAATGCTTAAATTTGCTAATCTCCATTTTGATGAGCCATCTTTGAAAACTACTTTCTTAAATAATAATACATGCACCATTGAAGAGAGCACATGTGTTGGAATTAATGATGATCATAAAATTCCAATTATTTATACATCATCAATATGCACATATAATCATATTTCTTTTAATTATTTTGAAGTGGGCATCCTTTCTTATAACAATTGACATTTTGTAAGCAATATTGATATTGACAACACATATGATAACTAATAATGATTATGAATGCTAATATTGGAGCATATTTCATAAATTTTCATTGACACATGAAATTTTTTCTTTTATTATTAATAATTTTTATTTTTCAATTATTATTATTAAAAACTAAAAAGATGTATAAGGAGTGGAGAAAGAGTATTTTGATCCCCATTTTTAAGAATAAAGAGGATGCACAAGGGTGTGAAAGTTGTAGAGGAATTAAGTTTATAGGTCATATTTTAAAATTATGGGAGAGACTAATTGAACATAGGTTAAGACGAAATACAAAAATTTCTCATAATCAGTTTTGATTTGTCGAGATTTTACTATAGAAGCTATACATTTATTGAGATGTTTGATGGAGAAGTACAAGGAGAGCAAGGAGGATATGCATATGCTTTTTATTGATTTAGAAAAACCTTATGATAAGTCCAAAAGAAGTACTTTAGAGAGTTTTAGAATAAAAAAATGTGTTGATATGAATTATATTCAAGTCATTAAATATATGTATACTAGAGTTGTTATTTGTGTATGAAAAGAAAAAGGATTGACCAAGTATTTTCCTATTTCAGTTGGATTACATCAGCGATTGACTTTAAGCCCATATATTTTTGCTTTAGTTATGGATGCTCTAGCTGGACATTTACAGGAGGATGTATCTTGGTGTTTGCTCTTCGCTGATGATATTTTTCTTGTGGATAAGACTAGAGAAAGAGTTCAAGAAAAACTTGAATAATGGAGGTCTATATTGGAGTCTAAAGACCTTCATTCGAGTATATCTAATACTGAATACATTGAATGTAACTTTATTAGTAGTAGCTCTAGCAGCAGAGTTGTAACTATGGGTGATCAAATCATTAAAATGTTAGAACTTTTAGATATCTCGGGTCTATTGTTCAAAGTGATGGTGATATAGATGGGAATGTTATTAGTAGAATGTCATAACTCTCAAGCGTTTAACTCTGCCAGAGAGCCTTCCCTGCGGCGGATCTCGCCGGCTAGATGCGTCGGAGCTCCTCCTTGGCCAGCCGTCGGCGTTCAGCTCCGCTGGAGAGCCTTCCCCAGCCAGCCAAGTCGCCATTCTGTTTTCGTTTGTTTTTCTCTCTTTTATTTTATAACAAGTCGTCAGCTTGTCGATCGTCGTATACTTCCATTTTTCGAACAAATCTCTCTTTCGGGTCATATGGACGGTGTGAAGAAGAGAGGAACAGGAAAAGAAGGACATACGAAAAAACGACAAACAAGAAAAAACACAAAAAGTGAAAAGTCTACGTGCGGTAAACCTCGCAAAAATAGGTTAGAAGCATCCGCCCAAATAAGATAGGGCGAAAACACCTTAAACCGATATCCGCGAAAGAATACCTATGTAGACTACCCATAAGCAGAGATTCAGGTGTAAGTGTTTGTTCTGGAGACATGAGTCCTCCTAAGGGGACGCATCCTGCTTAGTTAATTAAATCTTGGGGGTTGCCCATAAAAACTCTTGATCAAAAGAAAGGGGTTTTGCTTACCTGAAAAATGATAACTAGCACAGGGTCATCATGGGAAATTATCTCGTAGGGGGAATGTCTTGATGCTTCATAGCTCTTGCTAAACCATGGGGCGAGAAGTAAGTCTCTTGTGGTCCCCATATGGATAGCAGACTCATCAGCATACATAACCTACAAAATAATCATATTATCCCAATGGGAAATCCCTATACGTCGAAGCACATTCAAACAGTAAGGGCAGAGGAAAAATCATCGTATCCCAAACGGGCGGCAGCTCATCGGTCATCAGGCCGTCAGAATGATTCCAACGAAGGCAAAAGAAGAGATAAGGCTCAGCGGGGGGAGTCACACGGGA